GTAATAATGGCTAACACTTATTGAGTCTTCATTTTGAACCAGGCACTATGCTAAATGCTTTCCATATTATTGCCTCATTTAATTAAATTGCCAACTGCAGTCTGTTACTAACTACATTTTATGTTATCGCTAACTAAAGGATGTTCATTTTGGGACACAGTAAAGTAGTGTGGATGGTCTTGGAACGTGTATATCCACAAAACTTTTTTATTATCATAGTTTAATTTTATGAAAGCTTGAATTAACTTTGTTAATTTTTTTCAATTGTAATGTTTCTTCTTTTCAGTTTGAAATATGAAAAGTAGTAAAATACGTATAACCAAATTAGTATATTACTCACCATAATGCTGATATAGGTAGAGTATAACCCTTTTCAGTTTCTCCTTTCCCCACCATTTTTGTTTTGTGTTTACAGATTTTCTTAGTCTTGACTAAAAATATTTAAGCATTTTTGAAGCACATTTTTCAGATTTGGGTTACTAATTTGACACTTGTTAAAGTTAATTCTTTTCGCTGAGATAGGTGAATTGTTTTATTTGGAACTTGTGATATATGTCTTTAATTTTTATAACCATCTTTTTACCAGGACAATGACCAATTCTCTCATTTACTAAACTAAAAGCCAACAAAATTAGAGTGACTTTATTAAGTAAGCTGCAGAAGTGTGGGGTTAATAATCTTATCAATGAGTGATCTGTAAAAGAGCTGCCCAAACAAAGCACCTGAGTGTTTTTGGGTTTTGTTGTTGTTGTTGTTTGGGAGACTTAGGTATTATAATAAATAATAGTCCTAGGTTATAGTCCTTAAAAATTGTCCTAGGTTACTTTTAGAAATTACCTACACAGTTAAGTATTAATGGTAGATAAGTTTACAACTAGTTTAAATGTAGAAATTACTTTCTTAGAAATAATTGGAGATTAACAAGACTATTGAATAAAGGAACTATAAAAGCTATTAGAGAAGTTTTGGGACACGTATTTAATAATCAGAGGTAGAGAAACAATAATAGAAATTTAACTTTGATTTCAGGGTTTGTTTTTTTAAGATTTTATTAGGGAGTTGGGGAAGGGGAACAGTTTTGGGGAATTGGGGACGGGGAACAGCCCAAGTTGTTGTCTTTCACTCTTAGTTGTGGAGGGTGCAGCTAGCTCAGCTCCAAGTCCAGTCGTCGTCTGGCCGTCCGTCGGCAGCCACTCAGCTCAAGGTGCCCTGTTCAATTTAGTTGCAGGTGGGCACAGCCCACCATCCCATGCGGGAGTTGAACCGGCAGCCTTATTGTTAGGAGCACGTGCTCTTACCAGCTGAACCATCCTGCCACCTGTTGGCAGCTCAGCTGCAGCTGACTGGCCTATGTGGGAATCAAATCAGCGACACTGTTGCTCAGAGCTTGCTCTCTTAACCAACTGAGCCACTCAGCCAGCCTGATTTCAGCTTTATGTAATCTTTCCTGTACTCAACTGTATATGCTTGGTGTGTGTGTGTGTGTGTGTGTGTGTGTGTGTGTGTGTGTGTGTGTGTTTGAAAGACACTGTTTCAGAGACACATTTTTAAAAATCATTTATATTTTCCATTAAAACCACTGCAACAATCTGGAGTTAACCATTTTGTTTCTATAAACATCAGTTAAAACTATAAATTTATAAGCTCATTATTCATTCTGCAAATAGCTTTCAGTAGGTCATCCCTCATATGCCATGCACTGTGCTGTGAACAGAGAACATGTGGTTAGCAAACAGAAGTGGTCTTCATTTCCTTGAGATTGTAGTCTAGATAGGAAGATGTGAACCATCTATATGAACTTCGATTAAGTGAAGTGATGAAAAGTATAGGATGCTATAAAGCATCTAACAGGAAATTCTTCTCTAGTTTGGTGGTGGTAGTTACAGGGGCAAGGGTGGTCCAGGAAGGTTTCTTTGAGGAAGTGATCTTTGAGCTGAGATTAGAATGAGTAAACAGAGGGGAAGGAGTAGTCCAGGCAAATAGAGTTGCATAGAGGTAGGACCCTGAGTCAAACAGTCAGTGTTTTTCAAGTTGTAGAGTCATAGACCCATTATGAGTAAGAAACCAATTTGGTGGGTTGCAGCCAGCATTTTAAAAAACGAAGTGGGATAGGATAGAAATCATCTGAGTATATCACCTGGCTCCTTAGTTGGAATCTGTTTTCTGTTTTATGCATTCCTACACATAACACCACACACAGACATAACATACTTAATGTGTATACTGGCCAGGATGCAATATTATTTCTTACTGTAGGCCACAGTAAACAGATATTGTTGGAAGAATGAGAAGGAGGTGTGTGTGGCAGAAGTGTTGATAGGAGTGTTGAGTAGGAATCCAGACTCCAGATGACATTGCAGAGGTAGGTAGGAGCCAGATCTCATGTTGAGCCTAGTAGTACATGCTTCTCACTTGCCCTTTGGAAGAGTTTTGAGTTTTGAGCAGAGAAATGACATGATGAGATTCATGTTTTGAAAATTGTACTACTACATTTGAAATGGGATAGGAATGATGTGGAGAGATGGTTAAGAAATTAGTAACAGTAGCTCAGACAAAAAATGATAGTAATTTCGCCTAGTGTGTTACTAGAGATAGAAGTAGTTCAGTAAAAGACCTGTAGATTAGGAAGAAAAAAATCTATAGAGTTGGGTGAGGTACTAGAAAGAGTAAATGATACAATAATATATTTTACATATGCCCTGAAAATAAGTATTACATAAAATTTACTACTGTAAGTTTTATGGAAGTCCTTAGTAATTCTACTGTTTTGAAATTATCCAAATATACAAGACAAAACATTTGAAAATGTGTTTTGTTTTGTTTTTTAAAGATTTTTATTGGGGAATTGGGGGGATGGGAACAGTGCTGGGGAATTGGGGGAAGGGGAACAGACAAGTTGCTGTCGTTTTGATCTTCAGTC